AGGAAGAGAATAGATTTCTGAAGGAATGGAGATTTCTCTTAAGGGGAAAAGAGATGAGCAAGAACAGAGGCACAAACCATCAATGACAAACTTCAAAAGCTTCATATTTTAACCCCGGGTCAGACCTATCCATCTTCCTTTGTATGTTGACAAATAGTCTGCACAAAAGTTCATGAAATTCTGAGTCTGTTTCAACCTGGGTGGCCACACAGACTTACTCTAGTGAGACCTGAGGTTAAAGTCAGATCAAATGTTTAGGCAAACATGCTCAATTTTGGCACTCTTGCTTTGTTACCTGATTGGATCATTTAAACTTTCCATGAAGCATTTTTTTCCCTACTTGGAAAATAGTATAGATGTAACCTCTTCTGATTCCCACATCAAGAGCTTATAAGGATAAATGTGCTTGGTTGTTCAGTTGTGTCCGACTTTGTGACCCCCTGGTCTGTAGCCCACCAGGCTCCTCTGTCCATGGAATATAAGCAAGAATACTGGAGTAGGTTGCCATTTCCTACTCCAGGGGATCTTCCCGACCCAGGAACTGAACCCATGTCTCTTGCATCTCCTGAAAGCTGATTCTTTACCACTGCGACATCTGGGAAGCCCTGTAAGGATAAATAGGATACCATCTTGAATTACTGAAAGTAATAAAAGACTGTCCAAGCAAGACCAAAGCTACCGCCCTTTGGTGTTTGATTTGAAATTCTGGAAGTGTAAGCCTTCTTTACCAAAGTATGTATATAGTCATGGCTTATTAATTATGTACACATAGAGAAAGGGTTAGCCTGATGGTAAATAATCTGAATGTCAGGATAGCTTAAAATGTATGCAGTATACCTTGAAATTAATACAAACAGTGCAATCAATACAATTAATACAAATACGAACAATATTTCCTGAAGTTCCTTGATGGCTATCATCTCCAGTTTGAAGTTATAAGAATCACCATCATAAACACAGATTCCTAGGCTCCATCCTATTCTCCAAATCAGAATACCCAGAAAATGGACTTGGAAAGAGTATCCTGGTGATTCATTTCATTTCTTATGGGTAAGCTGGAAACAACTGCTTGTGCTTTCTTAAGAACCAGCAGGGGTCTATAATGAAATGCATGTCCTTGAGTCCCATCATAGACAGATTAAATCAGTAATTCTTCAAGTGGGTGCACAGAACTGACAATTTTAGCAGTCTCCTCTAGAAAATATTATGTGTGATGAAGTTTGAAAAACATTGCTCTCTTCATTATTTTGCAGTAAGACAAAGTTGTACTTGTTTTATTAAACACTGAGGAACTCATTAGAAGAATATTAAATGAATGCAAGTATGTTTATTAAAATAATGAATTTTTGCTTTTACTTAAATAAGTTATATATTTATTTTCTTTAGTATCCAAATGACTTAGTGAGTCCTTCATGGATAATGCAAGGAAAACCTTTAAAGCAGTTTATATATATATTTTATGACATAAACTATTAAAGAAAATAAAGTTTATTATCCAAATGTTTAATATATTTTATTTTGCATATATTTTAAAAGTTAATCAAATATGCCCACAAAGTATTTTTATAAAATTAATATATATAAATCTATATATTATTTCCTATACTTTATTATTTGATTTTTATCTCAAATTGAGACATATTATTTCTAGCCCATTAACAAGTTTTTCTAAAATAAAGTGTTCTTTTTTTGCTTTACTGTATTTTATTTATTCATAATCTTATGTTTTTATTTTTCCTGTTTGATATTTCCTGACATTTTACATTTTTCCTGTATTTTAATCCTTTATTTTTCTACATTTTTTTCTTTAATTTTCATGATTCAGTGCTTTTTTCTTTTACATTTATTTCTGACTTTTATTTTTTAAGTTATATCTATTTTATACATATTAATTTATTTGTTCTATTTTTTTTTACCATTGAAAGACATGGAACCATTCTTTCCTTGAATTTTTAAACTCAAAGAACATTTAGTTTCAATGTTCCTACTTCAACAATGAAGTAGGAAATTTTGAATCTTTTAGAATCTTCTTCTTTTTATCCATTTGTTTTGTTTTTGCTTATAGAAATTGTTATTTTACTCCAAATTAATCAAGATTACATAGTGGGAGGTTGTGACTAGACAACTCTAATTCTTTTAAAAATGGAAAAGTCTGTCAAATTCTTCATATAGCTAAGTAGCTCCAGTGGAAGAAAACCCATCTGCCCTTGCCTGTGAGAGCCTGTCTTACTACACAATTTACAATTTAAGATTATAAGCCATCCATGTTATAAATGTGTTGGTGAAATACAGAATCCTATCTATATCATGTAATTGTATGGCCCATGAGCCATTTTTATCATTTTACCATCATAAAAAAATGTTAGCAATAAAAATAAATGAAACTAATTCAGTAGGTTGCTGTATTTAATATGGCTTTTTATTATATTTTAAATGTCTTCCACATATATGAAATTATATTTAGCAGCATGGCATATGTAAAATAAGCAGTAAAGGAAAATGATGCAAATCTTAAGAAAAACAATTTAGGATGTTACTTTGGGGGATGAGAAAAGGAAAAGCCTTAAGGCATCAGGGAAGACCATACTAACAGGTGATGTTTGGGCCAAGATTTAAAAATGGAGAAGGCTGAAAAATGGGATGAGGAACAGCTAGACACTTTTCAGGACCAAAAAACAAATTAAAAAAACCAGAAAAGACATGGAAAAATGTAGAAGATGGGGAATAATACAGAGGACAGGGTGATTTACAGGTAGCTTAAACATGGAGACACCACTGATACCTACCTTGTGGTAAGAGATTGCCATATTAAGTAGTCATCAACAGCATTTTTCAAGATTTTAGTATGTACCAGGCACTTAGCTAAGCACTTTGTATGCCTTATACAATGTAATCTTCACAATAATTGTGTGAAACAAGTGTTAAGCAGGATCCCGTTTCACAGAGAAGGGAAAAGATAATAAGAAGTGAAATGACCAACAAAGCTGAGTCCCTAATTGAATGGCTTCCCTGACCACAAGGGTGAAGTGCATTGCTGTCTTTGGGTTGTTAGCATGACTGCACAGTGTGGAATAGAGGAAGGTGGGAATACCGTTAGCAGCCTGTAGTGTTTTAAAGCCCAAGAAAAAGACATATAGGTCTGCCTAAAGTTGGCGGCACACTGACTGCGAAAAAAATAGATCATTTGAACTTTTTAGATGGCCCTTAAGAAAGCATCAAGTGGGCCCACTTCCTCAGTCTAAATTAAATGTGTTACTGCATCTATCACAACATGCTCTAGATTTCTTTTGGAGCTCTTACGATTTGTAATTTTGCATTTGAGGGATCCTCTATTTAATAGAGGATCTTGCTCTCCCTCTCAGTAAAGCCCAAGGTTACAGAGGCTATGCTTACCAAACCTCACACTGTATCCATCTAGAATAAATATTTACTGAATTTAAGAATGGTTGGTGGATTAATAAATGTGGAATAAAGAATGATTTCAAGAACAGAGGTGGAGTGGATGGGGATGGAGTGGTGAGAATAGGGGAAGGAAGAACTTAATAAACTTAAATTTTGAGAAAAAACCCAAAACTATTTCAAGGTATGGAAGCTCAGTGATTGTGCATTGAATCAAACAAGAAACACAGAAAAAAAAAAAAAAAAACAACTTCCTAAATGCATGATTTTAAAAAATATTTTAAAGCTGTATTCCAGAATATATACCAATAAGCTCAATTGTTTACTTTTAATTCTACTCTTTTTTTTTTCATATATAAATTGCATTTGGGGGGAACTTTTAAAACCTAGTTACACTAGTATGTCTTTTTTTTTTTCCTTTTTCTATTTAGCTGGTGATATTTAAATAAGATTAGCCAGGATTATACCCAGTCTAACTATAATCTTGGATAACTAGGAACCATACAGCTTATCAACCTTATAATTCTCTTTTTTCTTTACAGATTTGCAGGAAAGCCCTCTTAACTCTGGGGGGAATAAAAAGTAAAGTTCACTCATGCTCAAAAGAAATTGTCTAAACCTCTGGTCTTTTTTACCTTAAAAGATGGATAGGAGTAACCAAAAAACAGTCTTAGTAATATCTCTAGTTGGAAAGAGTTTCTCACTTCCATCAGAAACAAAATAAACTCCCTTTTAAAAATTCATTAAAAAAATTGAAAAAGCATTCTGAATCAATAATCAAATTACAATGCCCAAGGATATGAAATTCTGAATTATACTACATATGTCAACATAGAAATAATAGCAGTAGAACGCTTGGCAGAAAATTTAAAGGACTAAGTCTGACTCAGAGATTACTGTCCAGATGTTCTTATCCTGTCTACAAGCAAGAGATTGACCTCTCATAATTCCAGAATGAGAAGCTAGGAAACATTTTGCCATGTTTAGAGAATACTTCTTTATGGGATTACTGATTTCCTACCTCCCCTTTCCTTGTTCATATCTCAAGGTCTGTAATTAACATCCTATAAAATATAAATTGCCCTTTAATTTGTAAAATAAAAATCCAAGATTTCAACTCAATAAGTATGCCTTAAAAATAGCAGGAGAGGTTGCACAGTTAAATAAAATACTCAGTTGGAACTCAAACTAAAGTTATCTTCCTATCCCTTACCAACAAGTACAGAATCTGTCTAAATCCAACAACTCTGAAAAAATTTCCCCAAGGAAAAGAAGTATAATAATCTAAAATTCAAGAAATGTCTCACATAGAAATGAAAAATGATTTCAGTGCTGTGTGGTTAGAAAATTTCCTCTCAGCAATTTATAATATGCTTAAGACTTAACTGCTTCATAATTTGGTAAACTTCAAGAAAAATAATAACAAAAGTGATTATAATACCTGGACTATGAATAGCACTTAACATTAGCTATCAAAACCCCAAAAAGCAACAAAGACCACATTATTTTGTTTCATTCATGCATATGCATTTGAAAAAGAGGCATCCCAAAAGCTTCATATTTATTTTTCTAAAATCATGTTAATTTCTTATTTATTTCAGGCATTACTAGAGACTCAAAATTTACTGCGCACTCAGGTTGCAAATTTTACCTTCAACCTTGGATTTTCAGGGAAGTTTTACCACACAGGTAAGAAGGAGCTTTGTGTTCTCAGGCAGCTGCATATAAATAGGAGAGAGGATTTTTAATGTTTCAAAAGTAGGAGAAATAGAATATCCAGACTGATTATGGGAAAAACTTGGGTGCATTATGAGTAGCCAAATCCAAAATCAATGAAACTTGTTTACTTTGGCAAATACTGTTAGAATCAGGGCAAAACAGGAAGAGAAATGACTTAGTCAACTCATTAAAGAAACTATAACCATTGTTCTAAGTGTGTCTATGCATCCTGTGAAGCATAGAGACCGTGGTGATGAAGATGATGACAATGAGATGATAATGATAATAATAACAATGGACAGTGTTTTAAAATTGTAGGACAATCTAGGGACACACATTTTTAGTGTATTATTTTTCTTTGGAAAACATCTAGTTATAAGAGAGGAATTGCTTCAAAGAAATTTAATAGATTTTACGAGTCATCTTGCTTAATTTATTGTCCCTTCAGGATTTTCCTTAAAAATATTGCAATGATTTGGCCAACATGCATTAAAACCATCACACTCAAACTTGTATTTCTTACCACATCTATCCAATCACAGTTTCATTTCTTTTCAGTCTCAGCTTCCAAACAAATCCTCAAAATGTGATTGGTGCTCATGGACTACTCCATGTTCTGCTATTTTTCACCTCTTTACCCATCTTTACCTCCAGAATTTGACTCATTTTCTGAATAGCAGCATTATAATGGCAGGCACTAGTATGGAGAAAACTATGTGAATAAAAGTGATTGTCCTAATGTCACAAAATGGTGTCTTAGGGCTTGTATTAGGGCAATGCCTACTATCTGCTACTATTTCTGCATCTTTGGTGAAAGCTAAATAATTTGTTTAGGGCTTTGCATTGTTGTTACTTCAAAGTATTGTAGTAAAAACATTTCACAGTATTCTCTATACATGCAATTTATTGACTCATTAAAAATATCCCATGCAGAGGTAGTCTTTGATTATCATAAACTCAGTTCATTTACCCAAAGAGGTTTTTTAATGTTTACCCAAAGAGGCTCAGCAGGTTTATTAGAATATTGAAGCAGCAGGGTCATATTGGCTTTTCTTTAATGCTTTTTTCCTCCTGCTTTGAAACATGTAAATCTGTTTAAAGTAATAGAAAGAAAATTGGTATTTGGACCAGTTGATAAATGAAATCACTGCATATTTTAAATGGATATCTTTCAGTGAAAGATTTGGGTCATCACATCTACACAGCCAAAGCACTTCTAGCTTACAATTTTGAAAATAGACATGATTTTATAAACCTTTTTCAAAACCCCCTCAAGAAATGAGTTCAGACCTAAGAATCACTGATTATGAAGTTATAAAACAGATAACTCTACAGACTGTGTCTACTCATGCTGGGGAAAAAATATGGGATTGTTTGGAGTTCACACACAAACAGTACTATTTTGTCTTAAATAGCTGTATAAGAAAAGTAAAAGTCATTCTTCTGGCTGAAATATATTTGGATAACTGCCTCAGCTTTTATTTACTTTTCATATTCAAATCTACTAAACCTGTCAGATGTTTCCAGAGTTAATGTTGATAGCAGGTTATAACACTTCCCATTTCTTTTTTATAATCCTGAGCATGTACATTTTACACATCCCACTAGGAAATGAACACGCTAGTTAATATCACAGGGACAGTTGTTGGAGGAAGAAACCAAACAATAATAAAAAAAAGATATTTTAATTATATCTCTTAATTGGACCTTATTGACTCTTTATGTTGGTACTGACAATAAAAATAATGAGAGAAACACTATTCTGTTGCTCTGGGATAATGTGCTTTATAGATTCTGCAATATATGTATTTGTAAGTTCTGGAAGCTTAATTACCTTCACATAAATATGAAGCTTTATTTGATTGGCTACATTATGTGTAGAATCATTGAAATGCATCCATGACATTTTCCAAGGGTGCAATCATACTCTAAGTACTTATTTATTCATTTGAGGGTATCAAGGTTTCTTCCAGTTTGGAGTTAAAGATTGATAGTATTCACTTTCCTTAGGACATGCCTCTTCCCTATCTAGTTGCCTCCTATATGGAGGTTTAACTATCAGGAGCTTAACAAATTGAAAAAGTTCTTTCCTTATCTATGCACTTGATTGTGACAGGTAACCATGAAAAGATGGCCTTGTCACAGTCACCCTCTCAGATTCTCCCAGAATGATCTGATTTGCCAATGCGTGAAGATGCTGATTGATGAGTTTCATTGTTTTGAAGACATTTAATCACATATGCCTAGTGTAATAAAGATAGATTCTGCATTCCTAGACTGCTTCACTTATTTGTATTTTCCATGTATTCTTTCCTGTTCAGTTTCTCTGTCCTTCACATGCTGAAAACAATCTTGCCCAAAAAGCACATTCCTGAAAGTCATTCACTCATGGGTGCCAAATTGAAAGAGGAAGGACATTCTGCTGATTGAATGTAAAAAATAAATAAATAAATAATAATAATAATAATAAAAGCATGGAGTTCAGAGTATAATCTTTTAGTCTGGAAATATTTTAAAGCATGATTGGAATTGCACAATGAAAGCTCAGTTGAAAAATGGAGACATTACAGGATCAAGATGACTTGTAGGGATGGAGAACTACAAGTATTTTGTGTAGGGCAGGATTTCTGGTGACAATCATTACCAGTTTTTGTAATTGACAATAAATTGAATATGACACAAACAATTACCTCGTGTATAATATTTTCAAATTGGATAAATACATGTCTTTTCCATGAGAGTTCATTTTAAATAAAGAAAACAGAACCTTATAAAAAAACTAACTTTTAAATATGAAAGTGAAAAAGTGTTACATTCATTTTCTTTTGTTTGCTTTTGTTTTACTTTATAATGTATTACTTCAAAGACTAGACATTGGAAACGACCTGCTTTTGTTTAAATCTAGGTTCTGACATTATACTAGCTATGTGAACGTAAACAGGTTACTTTTCTGTGCCTCAATGCCTGCATCTGCAAAATGGGAATAATAATATCTCTCATATAGAACAGTACATAGCATGTCATAGTATGCAAATATTTTTATTACTAAGTATTTTTGTATAAGAATCAAATTTTATTTAAAAATAGTGAATTATTTGCATGTCTCTGTTTTCCAATTTTGGAACTATAGGTAGCTTTTAATCAATTTTCATCATCAAACAATTCTTTTTATTTAGTATATTTAAGTTTAATTTATTCTATACTCACCTATATGGAACTGTGCCAGATTCAATACACGAAGAAAGTTAGAAACCTTTTCCTGACATTTCAGAATTACAATATTTCACATATAATAGCAAATATAAGACAAATATTTTTACAAAACTGACACGATTCTGGAATTTTATGTATCTGATTTTAATGTCACAACTGTGCTGTATGGAAACTAATCTATAGCCAAGAACTAGCTAAACTTATTCTTATTTGGCAGACTGAAAAACTTTTAGAGGCATACTCTTATAATATAACACAGGTACTCCAAAAGCAGAAACAAACAAATGAGTGCATAAATATTTTACTTCTGAATTAAACACTTTTATCTTCTGGGAATCAGGAAGTAAAATGAGGTAAATTTTAAATGAGAATAAAAATTCCATATTTTTAAATTAACAATAATGTAGATTTGAATCTAATCAGGTTAGAAGTAAAAGGGTCCATTTGAACACAGACACCTGAACAGACTATAATTTGTGCTAAATAGTCATGTATGAACTATAAATTATATTCTCACATGTAATTTAATCATATTAGGTGTCAAAAAATAAGTATTTATAAATGAGTCAAAAATTTAATGTTTTCATTTAGCTGGATTCAAAAACATTTGAAATTCTTTTTTGATCCCTCAGCATGACTTGATGTAATATTTTTCATTAAGTAATTCTAATGTCATCAGCTTGCCTTATGTGGCTTTGAATTATATGACCTGTATAAAATAAGAGAAAGGCTGATGGGAAATTAATCCATGGAGTGAAAAACAAAGAGGTTTTAAACATCACTCCTAATATTGTGGGGAGTGCTTACAAATTACCACACTTTCTGGTATAAAAATTACCAAGATTTTATGATCAGTCATGCATCTGTTTATATCAATAGTTAGAAAAATTATCTTTAAATTTGAGTAATTGACCTCTTTCCTGGTCAAGTATGCATTACATACTTCCTGCTGCTTCCAATAACCATCTGTGGAGTTTAAAGTGAATATAGGCTTTTCTCAGACATTCTCTATTCAAAGCACAATAAAACTGTTGGAGAACTATCAATTCATTCATCTCATGTGACATACAGTAGCTTTTTCTAATCTATGCTCTAGTCTGCTAAATTATGACCATGAGAAATACTTGGTCTGTATTAAAAATACTTCATACTTAAAATCCATCTGAGGAAGTGACAAACTTCTTTTCATTTGGATATCAATATTTGAAATTCTTAATATATTAACAAAACCAATGAATTGTAAGTCAATAATACTAATAATTTTGGCTCAAGTTAACAAAATTAAGAATTTTTGTCTGCTTATCTTATTCATAGAACTTTATCACTTTCCAAACTTCTATTTCTTTACTTTGTTTATAGTAGCAACTATTATAGTAGTAATAGTGCCAATTAAACTTGTTGGTCCTTACACCTTTTGAGAATTATGGATTACAGAATATATACCAAGAATAATGCATACATATAAATACACACAAAAGTTGACATGCGCTTAAACTGATATATGAAGGTTCTAAAATTCAGTGACTACATATTAACATAGACTGAGGTAGAGTTTTCTCTTATTTACTTTCCTGGGGAAGTGGCATGATACAATGCAAGTTAAAAGGATCCAATTTCAGACTTCAAGAATTTGATAATCTAGGTAAGGCAATATTTTTAAGAATGTGTGAAAATATGCAACTTTAGAACACCACAGGCATAAACCAGTAGATACTATTTTTAAGAAGTCATCTTAATATTTATGAATCAATAATTCACAATGTTAAGTGCTTTAATAAATTGATCTCATTGATTCTTCACAAGAGCCCATGAGATAGATTTTTATACCTCCATTTTCAACCAGGAAACTAAGACTCAAACAAATTAACTTATACAAAATCACATAGCCAAGGATACACTTTAACAAATCCATGCTTTAACCATCTCATGGCACTCCTTCATGATTCATGCTGACTCTACTACAGACACTTGAAAAGGGATATTCAAAGACTCTTGAAAAAATTCCTTTAATATTTTTTAAAGTAAACAATATAAAATCATCATAAAACATACTCTAATTTGAAGAAAAAAATTATCCAAATAAATACACTTCACACTGTAAGCCAGGATTTGTTACTTTGCTTGTTAAGTATCCAGAGACCATATAAGAAACAATTATATTATTGATTCAGAATATTTTTAAATTGAACTGAATATTATAAAATTGTACAAAAATTATGATTTCATACCATAAAAATGTCCTTGGATTGCTGTAACATAGCTAATTTCCTTGCAACTAGCTTGCTGATGTTATTTTCCTTCCCTTATTTCCCCCTCTTGTATGACAAATGGCTTTTTCTATGCATTAGGCATTGTTAACAAATTTTCCTAATAGAGGATGAAAAATTGATACTAGTTTTAAATTCTCAATTCAAGTTTCTATTGTGTTAGTTGATTTATTGTTTACATTTTGTTAAATTATTATATTGAAATGAGAAATATTTATGTTTGTAATGGTAAGTCTAAAGTATAAGGATACAAACATATTTATACAGTAAGATCTCAACTTTTAAAAAAATAAGTAGAAAAAGATTTAATGAAAAATACAAAAATGCTTCTACTGGTTAGTTCCAAAGATGATTTTTGGTGTCGGTTTTGGTTTTGTTTCTGAGTTTTCTATATCATTGTCTATCCTTTCCACCTGTCTTCAATAAGAATATATTTTATAATAAAAAAAATTAACAGACGTCATCATTTAAATTTAAAATTTTTCAGTTAAATATTAGGCTTATATGCAGAAATATTTTTAAGAGTAAAAAGAATAATCATCTTTGATCAGGTTTCCCCAATGCATCCAATAAAGGAAAGAATTAATAGTTGATAAATTTAAAACAAAAATAAACAGGCTAAAACTTGTTCTGTTTTTTGTTATTGTTGTTGTTGTTGTTACTACCATATGCTAAGAAATCTAAACACTGTCAGTGATAAAATATCCCTAAAATCTAAATGTAAACAGCATCTGCGCATACACCTTCCCATCCCAACCCCTAATCACACTGCCTCTGATGTAATTTAGGCTATGGTCATTTCTCTTTTATTAAAACAACACAAAATTGGATTTAGGTATCAGTAGCAAGAAGAATAATCTGACAAACATAACCTTTAAGCTAATACAAATTTTTCACTTAAGCCATTTTTTATACGTTTTACAGGGACTGAAGAGGAGGATGAGGGAGATGACCTTTTGCTTCGGTCTGTGGATGAGTTCTGGTGGTTTCCTCACATGTGGAGCCATATGCAACCCCACCTCTTCCACAATGAGTCATCTTTAGTTGAGCAGATGATTCTCAACAAGGAATTTGCACTGGTGAGTACCTTTTATTGAAGTATTTTTCAAACTCTGAATTGTGATATATTAGTGGATTGTAAAATCAGCTTATTGGGTTTAATCCAATAGAAATAGAATAGAACAGAAAATACCTGAGTGTGCCACAAGTATTAGGGCTTCCCTGGTGGTGCTAGTGATAAAGAACCCACCTGTCAATGCAGGAGACACGAGAGATGCAGGTTGGATCCCTGGGTCGGGAAGATCCCCTGAAGGAGGGCATGGCAACCCCAGTATTCTTGTCTGGAGAATTCCATGGACAGAGGAGCCTGGCAGGCTACAGTCCATAGGGTTTCAAAGAGTCAGATACAACTGAAGTACTTTATGCCACCATAAGTATTGTGTACGTACTTCTTTGTATTATTTTGTTCCAGGAATGTGTGTGTATGTGTATATGTACTGGGTCATGATGTGCTATAAAATGTATTCAAAAAATTGGGCATTGTCAGAAAGCTATCATCTCCAGCTTTATGAAAGTATTATACCATGAATAGGGAAAATAGTACTTTCTCCATTGTATTCCTTGTTCTTGTTCAGTTGCTAATTCGTGTCCAACTCTTTGTGACTCCATGGACTGCAGCACACCAGGCTTCCCTGTCCTTCACTATCTCCCAGAGTTTGCTCAAACTCATGTTCATTGAGTCAGTGATGCCATCCATGGGATTCTCCAGGCAAGAATACTGGAGTAGGTAGTCATTCCCCATCCAGGGGATCTTTCCAACCCAGGCATTGAACCTGCATCTCTTGCATCTTCTGCATTGGCAGGTGGGTTCTTTACCATTGTACTACCTAAGTCAGATTTTCATTGCATTCCTAGTACATAATAACTGCCCCCTTAAAACATATTTGCTGCAAGGGTGAATAAATCAGTTCAGTTCAGTTCAGTTGCTCAGTCATGTCTGACTTTTCGAGACCTAATGGACTGCAGAACGCCAGGCCTCCCTGTCCATCACCAACTCCTGGAGTTTACCCAAACTCATGTCCATTGAGTCAATGATGCCATCCAACCATCTCATCCTCTGTCATCCCCTTCTCCTCCCACCTTCAATCTTTCCCAACATCAGGGTCTTTTCAAATGAGTTAGCTCTTCACATCAGGTGGCCAAAGTATTGGAGTTTCAGCTTCAACATCAGTCCTTTCAATGAACACCCAGGACTGATCTCCTTTTAAGATGGACTGGTTGAACCTCCTTGCAGTCCAAGGGACTCTCAAGAGTCTTCTCCAACACCACAGTTCAAAAGCATCAATTCTTTAGTGCTCAGTTTTCTTTATAGTCCAACTCTCACATCCATACATGACCACTGGAAAAACCATGGCCTTGACTACATGGACCATTTTTGATAAAGTAATGCCTCTACTTTTTAATATGCTGTCTAAGTTGGTCATAGCTTTTCTTCCAAGGAGCAAGCATCTTTCTTTTAATTTCATGGCTGCAATCACCATCTGCAGTGATTTTGGAATCCAAAAAAATAAAGTCTGCCACTGTTTCCCCATCTATTTGCCACGAAGTGATGGGACCAGATGCCATGATCTTAGTTTTCTGAATGTTGAGCTTTAAGCCAAATTTTTCACTCTCCTCTTTCACTTTCATCAAGAGGTTCTTTAGTTCTTCACTTTCTGCCATAAGGATGGTGTCATCTGCATATATGAGGCTATTGATATTTCTCCTGGCAATCTTGATTCCAGGAGAATCAAGCACAATGGCAAGCTTGTGCTTCATCCAGCCCAGTATTTCTCATGGTGTACTCCACATATAAGTTAAATAAACAGGATGACAATATACAGCCTTAACGTACTCCTTTTCCTATTTGGAACCAGTCTGTTGTTTCATGTCCAGTTCTAACTGTTGCTTTCTGACCTGCATACAGATTTCTCAAGAGGCAGGTCAGGTGATCTGATAGTCCAATCACTTTCAGAATTTTCCAGAGTTTATTGTGATCCACACAGTCAAAGGCTTTGGCATAGTCAATAAAACAGAAATAGATGTTTTTCTGGAACTCTCTTGCTTTTTCAATGAATAGATAGATAGATAAATTGAGTCCCTAGAACAATGACTCTGGACCAGTGATTCTCAAACCAAGCATGTATCTTTTTCACTTAGAAGACTTTTTAAAACACATATGCTGGACCAAATCCTGGGGTTTCTGGTTCAGTAGATTGTCAAACAGGCCTGAGAATTTGCATTTCTGACAAATTTACAGAGGATGCCCTTACTGCTTGAACTGTGCTTTGAGAACCATTGCTCTGGGCTAGGAGTTGGGCTACTGTGGCTAATGGGCCAAATTTGGCCTGTTAGTTGCTTTATATTGTTCTTAAGCTAAGATAATTTTATTTGAGTTTTTTGAATTTATGTTTTAAAATGAAAAACAGAGACAATAATATTCTGCTTCATAAAAATTACATACAATTCATGTTTCAATGTCCATAAATAAAGTATTATTGGAATAGCACCACACTTTTCTCTTTATGCATTGTCTGCAGCTGCTTCTTCATTGCAATGGGAGAGTTGGGTAGCTGCCAAGGAGATTATATGTCTCACAAAGTCCACCTCAAATAATTACTATCTGGACCTTTACTGAGAAAGTTTGCCCACCCATGTGCTAGACAGGAAGTAAATCATCTATCCTTTTAACAATCTACTGAAAGAAATCTTTTCCCCAGCAAAACACTCATAGGCATATTCTCACATCTTCACACAGTGTGGCAGATGGTCACAAGGGGTGTGTGAATCCCCCAAAGGCCCTGGACCCCAGTTAAAACCACCATCTTAAGGTTTTTTATTTAAAATAAAGTTTATTTGCACTGTGTAATTGCTGATAGATTTCATTTTTTAAAAGTCAAATTGGGAGGCACAGACCCAAGGCCTTATAAGTACTCTAATATTTTATAATATTTATGCCTAATTATTATGTTAATGGATCACCCTTCTTTCCATCTCTAAATCCCAAGACTTCTGTCAGATCTGCATGTAGGATCCTCACTAATAAGTGTGGGAGCATAAAAAGCAGTTAAGATCATGGACTCAAGCCCGTGTTTGCATTCTGACCTTCCATCAATGGCTGCTTGAACTTAAACAAAAATTACTTAGCCTCTGTGCCTCAGTTCCCCATTTATAAAAATGAGAATAATCATGACAACCATCTCATAGAACCACTTCAAGGATCTGTAAAATGTACTTTGAAAGCATACGATCAGCATTCACTGGTTATTAATCAATTATGATCTTTCTAAATCCAGACAATTATGTGCTTATATCTTACTCTAAAAAAAAAAAAAAAACAACAACAAATATTGTTCAAAATATGGATTTACAAAAGTTTGATCCTCACTTACTTTGGGGGAATGTCTAAAAAATTTTGTGCTGCTTCTTAACATTGGAAAATTAAGTAAATATTCCTTTTTCAAAAATAAACTTACCTTGAGTAAACATGCTGAATTTTCTCAGAGCAGTTACCTTGAAAATAAACTGTATTTATCATTTGGCTTGAACCTCCCCCCACCTCATTCTCTCTCTGAAGCTTTGCTTTTTAGGCATGTAGATTATATTTCATAATGGTTGATTCCACCTGTTTGTGTAAAATTTTTTAAAGTCATGCTGAGAGCACTGGGAAAGACTCAGATGTAATTGCTTTGTAATGAAATGTTGAAAGCTATTTAGAGTCCATTCAGCACACATATTTGTTTAGTCAGTGCAGTTAGAAACTAGACTGAAGCCTATAAATATACTTTGTAAGAAAAAAATCTTATTATATTTTGCATAATCAAAATATAATAACTAAAGTGAAGTCTGTTAAACACACATACTGAAATGACATTGTTCTTTTCCTCTGATGTTGAGCTCAATAAAACTAATTAGGATTCTTCAAGGGGTGACATTAGAACCCCAGCTTTAACTATAGACATAGGATGACAATATGTGTGTTGTCCAGAGAGTCAGGAAGAATATTTATTTCTTATTGAATTATTATCTTTCTATATCCAGATGACACTTCAAAGCCCTCAACAGTATCAAGATGGGATAGGATAGTGAAAAGCATTATATTGGCAGGCTAAATTTTATCCCTGACTGTTAGTAACGTGTCCTAATACAACTGGCACCTCATTTAATATCTTCATGCCTCGGTTTCCTCCCCTGAAATGGTAATGATTCCCTTTTTCACTCTCTAAACTACAGAGCTTTTAGATAATTAATTTATATCAACTCATCTGCCAACCAAAAACACAGGACCAGATAATCCACTGATCAATTCCAATTCTAAAATTCTGTGATCGTTGATGATATCGGTCCACAAATTTGGAATGAACATCTTGAAATACTCATTTAGCTACAATCGAAGCAATTATGGAAAGGGACTTTCAAACTAAAAGACCAATTTATATTGAAAAACATCCAAAGTGTTTAAACCTCTTTTTTATTCCATCCTGACATTACTCCCTACTCCTTGGTTTGACCTTGGCTGGCAGAGGTGTGCAGTGCTTTTATCAGTGAAGAGAACAACTGTTCTCACAACATTTACAAAAATGATTCACATAACATATTAATAGCTTCATATTGGTATTTATAAAATTGTTAAACAATCAAACAAAATGGTTTCATTTGTAGAATTTCTCTGAATTGTTTCTGGATAGAGTTTATTTCCTGTTGTAATATGTCTAAAAATCATGAGAAAACCATATTGCAAGACTGTTTCTTTACTACTTCATTGTGTAAGAAGAACTATTATTACTGTAAAGCACCATCATTTCTTAATTCACACACACTTAAGTCTGCAGTGTGAATGTGTGTGTGGGCAATGACTTGTATGCCTATGTTGAATCCATGAACACATGTGTAAGTAGTGTGTGTTTGTGTGTGCATTTATATATATATATATATGCATGTTTAATCCATGAACATATATGCCATGTGAGTGTGTCCATGCATGTGTATGTTTTTATAGAAGGTGTTAGTCTATTAATAGCACAGGGACCCAAATATAGTC